CTTGACACAGGAGTACGCTGAGACTCAGAGAAATGAAGTGACTTAAAACTAGTCCTACAAGCTAATGAGGGGAAGAACTTGGACTCAGTCTTTTCGCTTGTCATCATCACCACCGCCATCATCATCATCTTTTCCGCCAAATCCCTATGGAGCAACTACCGCAGCAGAATTCCGTGCTGGGTATTCTAAACTCACAGCCTTCATTTGTTCCTTCATTCAAATGTTTGGTTTTGCTACTAAATAATCAGAGGAGACAAAATATACACACACAAAGAGGAACATGACAAGCTCTAAACACAAAGTGGCACAGGTACCAGGGAAAGGCATCTGATGTAATCAGGGGTGACTTCCTGGAGGTGGGGCTTAGGTGGGTTTTGAGAAATGTCCCTGACAAGGTAGACAGAAAGCAGGAGTCTTCCCAGGCAGAAGAAATGAGCCAGGTTGAGGGATGAGGGGGCCAGCCGACAGGAACAGGAGGTGTGACTGGGGAAAGAGGAGATTGGTTAGAGCAGAGGGGAAGGAGCCGGGTTGGGCCAGCACCGGGCAGGGAGAGCTGAACCAGTGTGCACCAGATCGTACAGCCCCCCTCCTGCCCAAGTGTCCTCTGCAGGGTTTCCCCACATGTCCTCACTGCCATTGAAGTCGATAGACTAAAGATGGCTCCTGTAAATCTAAAATGGAGTCAGTCTTACTCTAACTATTACTGGAAGTTCCCAGAGGAGGGAGGAGGGAGTGGAGGAGGCCTGTTCCCAAAAAGAATAGAGAGGTCCTGTTCCAGGAAAAGTCCCTTGTCCCTCAATGTACCTTTCCATTGTTCGCTTGATTAACGACTAACCGCAAAGTTCTGCTTCTGTGATTGCTCGCTTGCATAGCCGCCAGCCCCTAAGGTATAAGAAAACCGCAAAGGCTCTGTTTGGGGCTGTTTCTCCCTCCTTGCATGGAGTGGTGACAGCCCCTGCGCAGGTAAACTAATAAACTAATTTGGCTTATTAGATTCTGGTGTCTGAGTCCCCTTGATCCGCTGGTTTACAACACCATGTCTGATGCTGGCAGAATGCAAAGAGACAAGCAAATGGCCTCATCTGTAACACCTGGCCAAAATGAGCTGATTAAATATTTCTCCCAGAGATATCTTTAAATCGGTTTGTACGGGTTGGTGCAGGCAAGGGCAGGGGTATGCATCAAACTGGTTTTATTCATCTGCAGGCACAGAAAGAATTTGGGTGGGTCAATTGGCACGTCCAAAAGATGGGCAGCATTCAGCAGCACAGGGCGAGCTGCCAGACCTCAAGGGAGTCTAATCCGGGGACAGGATGATGACAACAGAGGTGCAGGTCACAGCTGACCTCACGCAGACATGTACGTCTCTTCCCCAAGTTTGGTCCTTGTGCATTATTAGGTTTCCACATACCTGGCTGAGATGGACCAGGGGCCACCTCATATGCCCAGGTGCTACTCCTCAACCTCAGAGTTATCCAATATCCAAAACATAAATCCGATTCTTAAAACCAAACATCACACATGCTAAAGTCATTGTCTGCACCTAGTTTAACAGAATGCAATTGCATGGCATATAATAGAAACTTAGTACATATTTCTTAAGTAAATGAATAAACCAGTTAACTCTATAGGATGAAAACTATTCTATCAGGATACAGACCTTGCCAGGAAATAAACTGGAGATAAACTTATACTCATCAAACACACACACACACACACACACACACACACACACACACACACACAGATGGGACCTTTGTATTGTTTCCATTTTTTAAAAGTGCTTTGTATTAAATCAGGTTAAGAATTCTGAGCCATTTCACACCCCTCATTGAATGGGAAAAATAAAAACTAGCTGAGAAGAGGCTGGGATAGGTCACCTACCTTTCAGTCTTAAACTTAGGATAGCCAGGTAAATTCAGGCTGCCCAGCTAGGTAAGTCACAAATAGTGCATGAAAATACTTATAGTAAAAAACTAGGTTCACTTGAAATCAAACTTAACTGGGAACCTGTATTTTTATTTGCTTAATCTGGCCACCTTACTCAGACTCTGTATCTATAAAATGAGAGTGGCAATGGCAATTGCACTAACGAACTTACAGGGGCTCGCTGGGCAGCTGGAACAAAGTCCTGTGCCTGGAACTCTCATGACAGAAAGTAGATGCTGGTTGCCTGGGACCAGGGGTGGCTGGTGGGGAGCAAGGGCAAAAATGACAAGGAGACTTTTAGAGTGAAAGAACTTTTCCCATTGATTGCAGTGGTGGTAATGGCATACATTTACCAAAATGCACCACACGGAAACCCTAAAATGGGGAACTTTTATTACATTATTCCAAGATATAGTAAAAACATGTTAGTTTAGGACTCGATCATTTGACAATTGTTTTACTGATACAATTTACTTCATCAACTTTAGTAAGAAATCATATAATGTAATGGGTCAGATCAGGTTCTGGAGATCAAATCCTGGCTCCAACACTAACAGTATGACTTTGGAAAAATTGTGCCTCAGTTTCTTCATCTGTTAGATGGGGCTAATTATAATCCTAGCTCATAAAACGATTGTAAAAATGAAGCTATTACCTGTAAAGTGTTTGGCACCAATCTTAGCACATGGTAACTGCTTGCTAGTTACTATTTTAAATTAATAATACTAGTAGCCACCCAAGATCTAAATAGTTTCTTTCATATGAAAAGGGGGGAAATGATAAACATAAGGTGTAATGAAGTTGGAAACTGGATGAAGAAATCTCTCCACTTTAGGATTTAGAAAAATCTGGGAAAAATAGGAAGTATTTATTAAAATCTATTGTATACCCCGTTGGGGGACCCAACTGTAGTAATTCAATATTTAAGGGCCCCTGTAGTGAATAACAAACACTTTCTTCTCAAATAGAAGATCAAGAATAAAAGCTTACTCACTTTATGTCTCTGATTCTGGACCTGCTAGGATTTGATTAGTCTGTATTCCTAAAAATAAGCCTTTTCCTGAGTCTGTTAGTGAAAGGGGCCAGATTCAGGGATTCTTGAAGCCTGTGAGTCAGCGAACGTTTACTGAGAATGTATTATGTGCCAGACTCCCAGAGAAACTGGTCCCTGGCCTTCACAAGCACGCTGTGAGGCTGACATCCACAACGACCTACTTGCTTATTACTTCTGGTGAGACAATTGGCCAGAGGAGAGGTGAGGCAACCAGCCAGGAAGCAGGGGTCTGCCCCAGCCCGCTGCTGCCTCCTGCTTCGCACCTGGAGATGCTACCTCCCCTTTCCCACCTCCCACTGCAGGAGGACAGATGAGGGTGGGAGATGGTACCCTGACTTCTGCCTCCAAATGCCTAAAACAGCCATCCCTTCTCATCCTTCGAGACTCCTCCACCCCCACCTGCCTCTGCTGTCTGCACAACGCCCCAGGTATGTTTTCCTCACAAGTAATTGCTTGCCTTTCGGAAGTCTGAATCCATGCCCCTCTTCATTCACTCATTTGACAGTCATGCCTGAGGACCTACTGGGCTGCAGGCACTGGTAATACAGACATGACCACGCAAATTAATAGTAACCACATTACAACTGCTTTCTTGTGGATGCCAAAGATACCTAATCATACCTTGAAGTGGACTTTTCCAATGCACTATGACATATGAGCAAGGAGGCTCACTCCAGTGACCATTTCAGTCGCAGAAAAATGGAACCGAGCTGTCCGTCAACAGAAGATGGTTAAATGAACCGCAGTGTTATGTCCTCAACTAGAAACCCAGACAGAAAGGACTCTCACAGAGAATGTTAATAGCTGTTGCCTCTGGGCAAGGTTTTTCTGTTGTCTCTACACTTTTCTATTTCACTTTAGTCATGTGCTCTTCAGAATCTAGAAATGAAAGGAAATGAAAAGAAAAAAGAAAAGCAAAGAAAAGAAAAAAGAGGAAAAAGAAAAGGCAACAATTCATAGAGGAGGGGAAGGAAGGTCAAGTTTATTTCCAAACTTCCATTTACTCCTCTGACTCATTTTGAAGGCTTATAACCCCTCCTTATAAGGACTATAAAACCCATTAGAGTAGACTAATAAATCAGTCTCCCTCCCAGAGAAAATACCGTCCAGACATCAGGGTGAGAAACTATGGTGGGAAGCGGCCTCTTAACTTGATAAGTCATCTGTTTCCTGGGTTCCCAGTATTTGAAGCCTATGAACAAGGCCATTTGAAAACAAAAGTAGAGACACATCTTTTTAAAAGGGGTATGCTTAAGAAACTCTAGAGAGAAAGGAGATTATCTCTTTTGTTTTTTTAAACTTAGAGAGGGTCTCACTCTGTTGCCCAGACAGTGCACTGGTGCTAATGTAGCTCACGGCAGCACTGCAGCCTCGACCACCCAGACTCAAGCAATCCTCCTGCTTCGGCTCCCCCAGTAGCTGGAACTACAGGTCCAAGCCATCATGCCCAGTTATTTTTAAAATTATTTTTTGTAGAGATGGGGTCTCACATGTTGCCCACGCTGGTCTGGAACTCTCGGCCTAAAGTGATCCTCCCTCCCTGGCCTCCTTAAATGCTGGGATTACAGGCATGAGCCACCCAGGTGGGGCAGAAAGGAGATGAACTACCCCTGCATGAGATTCCTATGACTCTGCACCTTGGTCTAGACTTGGTTTGCCTATCTTGAAGAAGGACATCGTCCTGGGGAACACTGGGCACTGAAACGGAGCCCTCCATAGCCCCAGCGTCCTGCCAGGGGGCTGGCGGGGATGGTCAGGCTGGAAAGGGGTCGGGAGAATCGTCCGCGCTCTCCCCCATCTCACAGCCATAGGGTGATTAGGAGCAGCAGGGAGTATTCGTGGAGCTGTAGGACAAGCAATTCACAATTAATCCTTGCCAGGACCCCGTCTCACAAATGAGAAGCTGAGGCTCTGAAAGGTCCAGTGTCTTCCCAGAGTCACACCACCCGGGGCCTTGGCACACTTTTCCCCACCTGCTTCAGGTGCACAGGCTCGTACCCGTCTCCGACTCGCTCACCTGTTCGTTCCAACCGTGTAGCTGGCTGTAGCGCACCTTGCAGAAAAGGAACCCGTCCAGGTACACGGAGTACAGCTGCCAACACACAGACACCCGGCCCCGGGTCAGCCCAGGGAGCCCCTGAGCATTGCCGCCGGCCCCCTCCCTGTGCAGCCCGACCCAGCCCCAGGCGCACCACGTAGCGGCCCCCCAGCGCGTCGGGCCGCTGCTGGGACACCGGGATGCAGAAGTGCATCTTCATGGCTGGAGCAGCGGCGGGAGCCCGACCTGAGACCTGCGGCTGGCTGCCGAGCTGTCTGCGGCTCTGAGCTGGGCGGCCGCGGACGCAGCTGGGCTGCCCCCGCCCAGGGCGGGCACTGGGCCCCTCCCCGCCCCCTGCGTCCCCGCCCCGTCCAGCCGCTGCTCGGGGCAGGGCCAGATGGGGGCGGGGCGCATCCAGGGCCCACCCCCCCCTTCCGCCCCACAGCGTCCCCTGTTGGCATTTTCTCCAAGTAGGTGCCCTGAGGGGCTTGAAAAAAGTTTGCGTCCCATTACCTGCCGACAATGCCGCAGTGCACTATGAATTAAGATGAAAAAACCCCACAAACATAAATCTAGTAATTACCCTATGACTAGCACGGTTATATTAGGTTCAGTTTTTTTGTGTTAACAGTTGTTAAATGTTAATACTTAATACACTTAAGATATGCTGCAGTATATGTAACCCTGCTTTAGTATTTTTTAAGCCTTTTTCTCCCTTCCCCTATACCAGAAACCTCAAAAAATGGAAGTGGCTTGTGTCTGTCTCCGTCTCTGAGAAGCCCTGGTTTCAAAAAGGTGCGGGCACCAAGTTAGCAGGGCTCACGCAAACACTTTCTTCTCTGGACTACCTGTCCCAGGTTCTTTCGACAGTCTCTCATTTTTAGTTCCCGTGGAAAATAATCCTTCTAATTCTCTTGTGTCACTTAAACCAAAATAGAATTCCTCCTGCCTTGTCGTGGTCGCTGGTGGAGAGAGCAGCAGAGTCACCAACGGAGGTCCCGCGGCAGGCCCTGGGCTCATTCTTCCTCTTCTCCTTTAACCCGCACAGAACTCTTCCAGGTAAACATCAGAGAGACATTCTACCAAGGACAAAACAGGCCTAGGGAGTGGAGGAATTTCTCCAAGGGCACAGAGCATTTTTTCCCTAGGTCTGAGGATTTAACCACAGGATTTAACCAGAATCATTGAAAGTCCTTTAAAATGCCCATCGCCGCCGGGGTAAGAGCTGAGTGCCTGAAACGGGCACCTGAGACGGGGAAGGAGAACCAACACTTGCCGCACACCTGGTGTTTCCTGCAAGTTTGCTGTGGGCCAGACCCTGGAGTACACCATGCCATTTAATTCTCACAGTAACCTGCGAGCTGGGAACCACGACAGTTCTGCCCTTACGGAAAAGGGAATTGAGACTTAGGGGAGGCAGTGGCATGTAGTGGTTAAAGGAATGGCAACAGGAATTCACAGCCCAGCTTAGTGGCTTCTAATCGAGGGGAATTGGGCAAGTGAGTGGACTCTTTAAGCTGCAGTTTCTTCTTCTATGAAATCATGTTAACAACTGTACTCACCTCAGTGGAATTCTCAGCCCAGGGTAGATGGGCCTTAGGGTCTTTCTCCTGTCTGCAGGCCATCTCTGATCTGGAGGGCCAGCCTCTAAGTCCAGGGGCATCCCTGAGTGTTCAAGGAGTGGGCAAAGGCTGATCAGGCTGGCTTTGAGATCTGGTCCAATCTTCAGGCTAAAGCGAAGGATCCTGGTGAGGCCCAGAAGTGGCCTCAGCCTTCAGGGATGGCCTGGGCCCTGGCTCTGCCCCCTGCAATGTCCACACAGGGCCACTTCCTTCCTGTCATTTATTCCGCCCCTGAACCTGAACCAGACGGGGCAGGCCTCTGTACGTGTCCCTGTCCTCCTCCATTCCTGACCTTTGTTCTGGCCGGTCGGCTGTTATTCACTCAGTCAGTCAGTGAACATTATTGAGCTCCTTCTGTGTACTCTGCACTATGCAAGATATAGCACTGGAGCATGATGAAGAGATGCGTGTACCAGTAGCTGACACTGTAGGAGGCATTGCTCTGAACTCTTTATGCGAGTGAGGTCATTTAACTCTCACAACCGCTTGAAGCAGGGATTGATATTATCCTCATTTCACAGATGGAGAAACTGAGGCACAGAGCAATTAAGAAACTTGCTCTGAACTGTATAATTTGCAAGAGGCGGAGTAGGGTCATGAAGCGAGTGGCCTCTCTCCCGAGCCTATGCTCTGTAAGTTGCTTTGCAAGGGTGCTTTGGGAAATCTGTACCATTACTTTATAGGCACGCCCTTTACTGTTTGTAATTCTTAATGCAGTTTTAAATAAGTTTTTATTGTACTCAGTTTATGAATCAATTCTATATGGTTTCCAAGGGTGTTTTAATTTACTTTATGCCCAGCACATGGTCAGCATTCAATAAAAGCTTAACATTCCTTCGTTCGGGGAGTATTCGTTGAGCATCTCTTATGGGCTAGGCACTGCAGTGACGTTGGTGAATATGACAGTCCCCTAACATTGCAGAACCTAAGCCTACTTTACAGATGAAAAAGAGGCAATTTCTATAGTGCGGCACATAGTATTACAGAACAAGTATACTTCTTACTGCTTAGTAAGCCTTTTAAGCACAATTTGCATGTAGCCTCTCATTCTACTTTTTGTGTAATCTTTTTGGTACTTGGATATCTGGTACCCACACTCTTTGGGGAGTGTGGATAATGAGGTATGGCTCTGTCCTGCAGTGGAACTTTCCAGATCTCCCAAGTCCTTTACACCCTTGGGCCTCTGGATGGGCAGTGCTGTAGGGACCATGAGGGAGCCAGCAAGGTGGTTCCTATAGACTGGTGCTCTTGTGTACGCTACAGGGGCCCATCCAGGGTGCATTGTGGTGTCCTTTCCTCCATACTTTCTTATAACCCAGGCTTTGGGAAGCTTACCCCAATGGTCAAAGACATAGACCATATGAATAGGGACTTGAGCAAACAGAAGAGCTTCCTGATTGTTCATAGCTGTTTAGAGCACACACAGAAAGGGATAGAAGCGTGAGATGAGGTGTGTAGAGTTAAGTCTTCCCTCCTTGTCTATTTAGCTGTCAGAGTCCTCTTCACTCCCTTGAGGTTCAGACAAGTGAATCAGAAAGGTAAGGCTGGAAAGCTTGGGCTGTGCATCTTTCTTTGTCTTGACTTTACCTGTACTGGGCTGTGTTGAGTGCTCTGGGGTCCTTTGGAAGTTGAGGAAATATACAAAATTGTAGGATCCGTGGAGAGCTGCAAAAGTGCACCAGCAGTTCTGAAATGTCCATGGTTCCTGGATGATTTTCAGGTCCAGAACTCCTAAACCTAAAGACTGACTGTAGTTGGTTGAATAGTGTCCTCCAAAAATTCATGTATACTTGGAACCTTAGCATGTGACCTTATTTGGAAGTAGGTAGGGTCTTTGCAGATATAATAAACTTAAGGCTCAAAACAAGATCCTACTGGATTAAGGTGGCTCTAAATCTAATGAGAGTGTCCTTGTAAGACACAGAAATGGACATCCAGGAACACGCATGGAGAAGGCCATGTGGAGATGGAGGTGGACAGTGGGATTGTGCTGCCACAAGCCAAGGAACAGCTGGGGCGACCAGAAGCTCGGGAGAGGCAAGGGAGGGTTACGCCCTAGAGCCTTTAGAAGGAGCACAGCCCTGCTGACACCTTGATTTCAGACTTCTGGCATTTGTTTCTGTGGTTGTAGGCCACCCAGGCTGTGATACTTTGTTTTGGCAGCCACGAGAAAAAACTCTACTGACCTTGTGGCCACAGTCAGCTTCATGCCATGGTCCAGAGGGCTGAACCCTGCCGTGGGTGTGTCTAGGAGAAGAATGAAACAGAGAGAGAGCATCCCAGAGGAAAGGAGACCTGTGATCTGATGGACAATGTCTTGAAAATAATAACAAGACTGGTTAGCCCGAGGCAGCACTCACCATGGGCCAGGCAACTCACCCAAAGCCACACAGCTTGTAAGAGGGGCAGTCAGGACTCAAATCCAGGCAGTCTGGAAAGTCTCCGAAGTCCTTGCCCCTACTCATTTCTGCAAGCAAAAGTAACTTTTCATTCCGTACTTACTGAGGGGAGGAACTCTAGCACATCCAGGGCCCCCAGATTTGGGGGATGACATTAGGAAGAGAGCACTCTGTGAAAATGAAACTGTGGGGATTTGGAGTTTTTGCAGAAGTGACAACCAAGGGGTGTGTCAACGTGCTACTGAGAAGCTCAGCTCCATCCACGGGCCTCTGTGCGGGCACCACACTAGGTGTAGGGATTGGAAGATGAAGGTGAGAGAGGTGAAGATGAACATGAGACTAACTACAACAGCCTCCCAGCCCACGGGGAGGCAGACACATGCGCAGGCTGCTAAACACCAGCACCGTGGGGGGTTCCTGGGCAGAGCCGAGTGAGCGTGCCAGGACAGCACACAGTGGGGGCATGAACCCAGCCAGTGTGGACGGAGGAGGGAGCAGTGGGAAAGGCTTTCTGGAGGAGGTGCTGTGCGTCTAGATGGATCACTCTGGCGAGTGTGCCCATCAGGGCGGCTCTAGTGTAACCAGAGCAGTCAGAGCAGCAGGGAAGTTTTTCATGAGAAGAGACTGCAGAGCACAAGTCCTGCAAGGCACTCCTCGAAAACTGGGTGCCCTGGGGTGGGAGGTCTGGGTGACATTATCTGTAATAATTTCCTCTTGGACGATCACAAAGTGCTTTAGTGTATTAAGGGCTCTGAGGTGTCTGCAGAAAAGAAAACTGCAACTCTGTTTTAGGTTGTACCTATTCACAATGGGGGGCTAGTGTCCCAGGAAAAATCTGTCATTGTGTGAAAGAAGACAAAGGCCTGGGCTGGGGCAGTGTCAAAAAGGGTGGATTAAAAACTATTTAGGAGCACAGCACAAACGATTAATTAGTTAGAAATGGCTCCTGTCTTCAAGAAGCCAAAAGACAACCATTTAAGGCATTAGTAACTTGTCATTTGGCCCCAGACTGCTTTGTAATCCTTTCATGAGGTATTGCAAAGTTCGGCTACTTACCCTTGATCTACATTCTAGAGGTTTCTGTTTCCTTTCTCTTGGATCCTCTCTTTGTGGGTGATGCTGCTGACAACTGTTCCCATATGTGACCCTGCTCTGTTCCATCTGGCAGTGAAAACTGAACCAGGGATTGCATTCTGAAGAGATACAGGTAAAAGAGCAAACATTCAACAGTAATTCACCGCACTCACACTGACAAAAAGATGGCATACCCCTGTATATTGTATCTTGCAACAAATCAATTTTTGTTAAATTGTTAAAAAAATAAAAAATGGGGAGGGAAGGTGACACAGGACTTGGATAGAGCAGGATATAAAGTAAAGAAAAGAGAGGGAGAGGAGACCCAGGGCTGCCTGGGGTTTGGGCAGAAGAGGCTTGCTGGGAGGCAGCAGGTGTGAGCGGGGAGCCCAGGTGCGCTTGGACGTGCTGAGCGGGTCGTGCTGGAGGGAGTCAGTTGGAGGGGCGAGGTGGGGATTGGGAGTCATGGGAACACAGGTGAAGGTCAGGGTCACAGGAAAGGGTGCAGTACCCTGGTGAAGGCATGTGGGTGCAAGAAGACATGGGCTCATGCTATGGAGACTTGGTAAAACCCCGCCAGGTGTGGTCAAGGCAACAGGAATGGAGTGAGATTAGATCTGTGACCTAGCCAGTTTTACTGTCCTGGGAGTGGACAGTAAAGGAAAGGGAAAGGAAGTGGACTCCTCAGGGCCCTGGTGGGTGGCATGTCTAGGAAAGGGTTTCCAGCCAGCCAGGGCTCCTCCAAGCTCTGTGCAAGGGAGGGGAAGACACATCTTGCAGATGGGAGATTCTAACCCCTAGCGTTGGAGAGCAGGGAAAGTTCATCAGGCTTTTGTCCAGCCAGGAGGAAGTGTCACCAAGACCGTCCAGCTTTCTCTGCTGTGACCCTATGCTCATCAAACAATCTTCCCATTAAGTGACTCGAATTCACCAGGGTGCCAGTAGGGGACAATGCGCCAGAGGGCAAGTGCCCCTCCCCATACAGGTCAGTAAATCAGAGCCTGCTGAAACAGCGGCTGCCTGGGAGCCTGGTGCATACGTCCTTTCCAAGCCTGACCTATTCCAAGTACCCTGGCAGGCTGCTGGTGACTGCAGGAGACCCCTTCCCTGATGCTGTGTGAGGCCTGGAGGCAGCAGGCTTTGTGACAGGCTTTGAGGCCTTGTGACAACTGTCCCTTTGGGGGGGAGAGATGGATGGTTTCAATGAGAATGATACAGAGCAGATGACCTTTCTCCCAGAAATGGGATAAAAGTGCACACAAGCCATGAAATTATCACAGTCATGTGCATGTCAATCCTGATTAGGACATAAATACAGGCCCTGACCATCAGTGTTCTAAAGACCACTCAAAGCGTTACCCAAAAGCTACAATGCAAAGGAGTTTTCTGCCTCTCAAAATGACAGGAATGCTTTTGAGGAAAATTTCATCCAAGCTGTAGAAGAGTCTGAACAACCATTGCTACTTAATAGTTAGTTGATGATAATAATAGTAAGCACAGCTAGCTTTAAGGGTTTACTCAGTGCCAAGCACCATCCACTTTACATACCCTGCACTAACTCATTTAATCCTCAAAGTGACCTTGAAGTGGGTACTATTGTCTCCATGTTCCATCTGGAGAAACAGAAGCACAGTGAGATTAAGGGACTTCCGCAGTGACATACCCCTGATGTCCCTCCCCGATGGCCTCCTTTGGACGCCCCCCACAGCCCCTCTGGGATACTCCACAGCCCCCCTCTCCTTGTTACCTGGCCTGGCCTCCGTCTCTCCTTCAGCACCTGCTGGGGGTTGGTTTTTTACCTTTCATACGTCAACTCTCCTCGATGAGACACCAAAGGGCCCGAGAGCAGGGCCACTCCAGAGGCTCGGATTTGCCAGGCAGCCGTTCTGGACACGCACGGAGGGTTCTGCTGCGAGCAGGGAGGATGTTTGCAGGTAGAAGGCAAGCGTTCCCCTAAAACTCTGTGACATACCAGAACACAAGCAGTGCCACCCAGTGAAAGCCAAGCGCCTTTCACAAAGGCAAAACGACACCATGCAGCTTTGATATCTTAAGGGCCCCATACCTGAGCCTTTTATGGCCTTCAATCTTATCAGTTTATAAAATTAACATCTGCTTATGTTTTTCCACATCAACATTAGCCACTACATGTAATTCATTCCTACCGTGGAGACATTCACAGATCCATGGCATTTTGTTTAGGCCTCAGCGGTGCTGCTCAGCCTTGACTGCGCATTGGAATTTCCTGGGAAACCTTAAAAAATGCTGATATCTGGGTCCCACCTTCAGAGATCTGGATTTAATTGGTTTGGAGTATAGTCTGGGCATCAGGCTATTAATACAGGCGGTCCCCAGGCTATGGACGAGACATGTTCCTAAGAACATCTTTAGGTCGGATTTGTATGTACTTGGATCCCTGATGAACATCACATACATGATAATAATAATAATAACAATATTATAATGGCTCATATGGGGTAATAATAATACAGTGTAATACTGTAATGACTATAGTAATATTATCATACTGCAATAATAAGTTACAGAAACGATTGTGCTATTTCTTTTCATTGCTAGGCTAATAGGAATGTCACGCTTATTTTGATCTTTTAACCAAATCAATAATAACCTTTCTGTTTCAATAATTAATCCACTACACTGCTTGGGAATAACTGAAGCTTTCATTGGAGCACTGCCTTTCACACGGTCCATTATTCTCACTTTATCCTTTGCAATTGTTCCCATAGTTGAGCGACTGAAGGAAGCCTAATGCTTTCCCAGTGAATGTGGTGTCTGGCCTTTCTCTGAAAGCGTAATTATTTCTACTTTCATTACTTTCGTGTCCATTGTAATCACCTTTCTCCTCGCTGCAGTCTCACCTGGACTTGCAGTGGACTTTCACTTTGGAGGCCCGGGCATAGCGAGAAACACAGACTCACAAAATCAAATCAAAAGGTTAAGACGAAAGTGATGCTGTGCGTAAGCGACTGTGTAAACAGTGAGACCAGCCATGAGCACAAAGATGCAGTGGCAGCAACCTGCTCACGCCACGCGGGCTTGTTTACTTGCCTGGAAGAAACTAGTTCCCAAGTTATTAATTTAATTGCTTAATTACAAAGTGTCTTTACGGGGATCCTTGGGAGCCCATTCATAAGTAGGGAATGTGGTAAGTCGGGTCATCTGTCACCTGTACTCTGCAAGTGTGAAAGCCACTGGAGCATGAATAAAACCTACCAAGGTCCTCACATGGTCCTTGAAGAGCCCCTCGTAGCTCTTAGAGTTCCGAAGGCTGAGATTTTGGCTCCTGCTTGCTTTATGGGAGATGAGGTCTAGTCTTGGAAAAACGGCTCCTTGGGAAGAAGCTGCAGTAGAACCTCATCCAAGCAGCTTGCTGGGACAAAACTGAAGTCCGTGAAACATTGCCTGGGATTTTATTCAAAGTCTTTTTCACCCATTTGTGGAATAAAGGTTTGTTTCGAATGCTGTTGGGAACCTGTTGAGAGACAGCGAGTGAATGATCAAAAGCTGAGCAGAGGCATTGGTCAGTAATCAAAGTAATAGTTAACACATAGTGAGTACCTACTATGTGCCAGGCACTTTACATTAATTCATTTAATCTTCACGATGATCCTATGAAATGGATACTATTATGAACATTTTACTGATGAGGAAACTGAGAATCAGGGAGGTTAAGTATCTTGCCCAAAGTTGCACAGCTGGTAAGCTCCATAGCCAAGATTTGAAACTTGATTGATGGGCTCTGTAGTGTAATTAATGTGGGACACTAGGGCCGTGGTGGGGCATGGCCAGAGTGGACTTTCTGCGAACACACAGGAGATGCTTCTGGGATGGTTGTACTTTTTAAGAAGTTCTTTACAATGGGTGGAGGTCTCATTTGGGATGAACCAGTGACTGCTGTTTGATCACTCTTGGTGGGACCTACTCTGCACACATTGGCTGATAGGCTCGGCGGAATTCAGGGCTCAATACAGTTATTTCAAGGTGAATCTAATGGGCAGGAAATATGTCAATTTAAGAAAGATTTAGATTCGTGTGTGGATTACAGAGCAGGATCAAGAATTAAGGGACATAAAGAGGCTTGGGGGACATCACTGTGCTTTTCATTTGGGTGCCAAGAGGTACAGCAGGACATTCCTGAAGCTCTCCCATGGTACAGCTCTCAGAGACAGATGCCTAAGATGACCAGATCTTGGGCCTGAGGCATTTTAATTATTTTTCTGGGCTGGGCGCAGTGTCTCATGCCTATAATGCCAGCACTTTGGGAGGCCAAGGCAAGAGGATCACTTGAGGCCCGGAGTGTGAGATCAGCCTGGGCCCCAGTAGAGATCCCTAACTCTACAAAAAAAAATTTTTTTTAATTAGCAGGGCATGGTGGCACATACCTGTAGTCCTAGCCACTAGAGAGGCTGAAGCAAGAGATCGCTTGAGCCCAGGAGTTTGAGGCTGCATGAGCTATGATTAGATCACTGCACTCCAGCCTGGGTGACAGAGTGAGACCTTCTTTCTAAAAGAAAATTATTTTTCTGTTTACGGTTGATGACTATCTTAATCAGTCATAAGCAACAAGAATGTTTCTTGCTTTTCTGAACAAAGGTACTAATTCCATAGATAAAAGAAATATGTTGGGCTGGGTAAGCTGGCTCATATCTGTAATCCTAGCACTCTGGAAGGTGAAGGCGGGAGGATTACTTGAGCTCAGGAGTTCAAGACCAGCCGGAGCAGGAGCAAGACCCTGTCTCTACTAAAAATAGCAAAAATCAGCCAGGCATGGTGGCGCATGCCTGTAGTCCCAGCTACTTGGGAGGCTGAGGCAGAAGAATCACTTGAGCCCAGGAGTTTGAGGTTGCTGTGAGCTATGCTGATACCACAGCACTCTAGCCTGGGTGACAGAGCAAGACTCCGTCCTCAAAAAAAAAAAAATAAATTGAGTTTTGTTTTTTAAGTTTTCTTATGGCAAAAGCGATATCCATTCATTGTATAAAATTTAGAAAAGACATATATGCCAAGAGAAGAAAGTAAAAAGCTTCCCCAACCCCAAGATGAAGAGTGTTTGGTGCACATTTGGTACAATTTTACTTTGTATCTTTCCAGTCTTTTTTACTCGGGCCTTTATAAGCTCCCTCCCACCCAAAAAGAGGTCTTTCAGTACATGGTTTGAGAGCTTGTTTTTTTCACTTAATAATCCTCTTCCTCCCAATTTCTCCTTATTCTGATTTGCTAGGTAAAGCCAGGCAAGCTCTTTGATCTATTGACAACTCTACTGTGTCATTTCTCAGCGTAATGAAAGAGTTAACATGAGAAAGATTAAAACAGGTAGAAAAATGTTAGGAACTATTAGAAAAGAGTGAAAATATAGAAAATATAATTGAGATCACTACTTGCTGAAGTGAATTATGCCAGTGGGAATGATGTTACTCAGATTATATATCAGTTATTAATTATTATTATTAGTTACTATTTACTCAGCATTTGCTGTCTTCCAGATAACTAAACTATTGTGCTAAACTGCTGTGAGCACTTAGCAATGCCTGTCGAGGGAGGGGTGGGGAGAGATGGCATTTGCACCGTGTATTTGCAGTACCCAGGCTCTTAGTAACTGCCATCCTTTCTCATCTAAACTGTTCCCCACATGATTAAGTCCCCTCTGTGACATCCATGCTGGCTGTTGCTTGAATGAGAACATTTCTAGGTAGGCATTTATTTGTTCAGCGTTAAAAATTTCTGTTCCAACGATAGAATATCACACAACACAGTTGGCCCAATGTTTTTAAAAAATTGAGTTTTGAAAATAAATCACTGAAAATCGGGAACATATGATTGTCACTGAATAGTATCCTTGTATTAACGAGAGAAATAGCTCTTTTCTCGACAGTGCAACTGGAAATGACCCAACTAACCCTTTTATGAGTGCACAGGGCTTTCGCAGAATGCTTTTTCAGAGAAGTTGTTTTGTTTCTGCTTTTGATTCTTTCTGGCTCCTCTTGCTCTTCCTCAGTTGCGAGGATACCACGTGAATCATGGCGGTGCCCCGCGGCTCTCAAGCAGTCGGAACCGGGCCCTCCCTACCACTTGAAATCCTATCTTTAAAGGGTCGCATAAAGAAGATTTTGTTTCTTCAACAGAAACGAGAGCCACAGCTCCATGGCAGGGGATAAAGGAAGAGCATTTTCAGCCGTGCAGGGGGACACTGTACAGAACAACGTGCGTGCTTGGGAGCGCCCCGCCCGCCGAGCCTGTTTGACTATTCAGCTATCAGACTTTGATTTTGGTTAAGTAAACATGAACTTGGGGACAACCAGCTTTTCTGCATCTCCCGTCAGGGAGTTGTAGGAGCAAGGTCAGGCTGGTGGCTCTGGCGGTGAGCTAGCCAGGCAAGGTGGCCTGGTATTCAGCCAAGAGGGGAGGGAATGGATCTCTAGTGGACACCTATGGTGGGTTTGGCACTGTGCCTGGGCTGTGGGCACCTCAGTGGGTGTCCCTGTGCTCACAGAGTCTGCTGGGGAAGCCAGGCGGACACCCAGCAAGGAAGAACACCAGCGGAGCAGGCTCCAAGCTCCATCCGTCCGCGAAGGGCAAGCGCAGAGCAGAGCAGGGACTGTGCGCAGGGGAGCAGCCCTGAGTTTGAGGACAGGGAAGGCTGACCTGCACCAGGGACATTTAACCAAGGCCTGAAGTGTGAGTGAGGATTAACTAGGTGAAGAGGCAGTGTAGAGGGTGAGAACTCAGGGAGCTGGGCAGAAAAACGGCAAGTATGAGAAGCCTCGAGTTCTCTTGAAGAAGCAGACCTGAGGCCGGTGACCTCCATGGGAGGGGACCAGGGTGCTGAGCAAGAGTGGGGCACGCAGGTCACACCAAGGTTTTTGTTTTGCTTTGTTTTACTTTACAAATCCTACCTCATATGATCCTCCAGATAACACTGTGAGGTCGTTATCATCCACTCAATGGTACCAACAAGGTAAAACAGGCTCTGAGAAGCGAACGAATGTGCCCAAGCTTTTGTAGCTGGAACTCGCAATCATCACTCATCCTTGTACAGCGTTTGACCATGTCATCCCACTTTATCCCTATAAATCCTTAAAAGTGTGCCCACTTTAGAGAAGAAGAAACGGAGGCTCAGAAAAGTTTTGCTCAAGATGACATAGAAAGCGTCAGAGCCAAGATTTCAATGCTGAAGTTTAGCTTCCAAAGCATTCTCTCTCTGCCTTAGCAGTGGCTCTCAAACTTCAATGTGAGAAAATACTTAAGGAGCTTTTAAAAAATGCAGGTTTCTGGCTTCACCCCCAGTGATCTGATTCAGTATGGCCTTGGGCAAATCACTCAGCCTCCTAATCTGCAACAGGAGAAGTCATATTTTCCTTTTCTATAGTGGGAGATCAGTAAGATAGTGCCTAATCCAGAAAAGTTACAAGTGGCAACACAAGCGTGTTTGGTGGCTTGGAGGTTGTCACCTCGTTGCAGGAAAAGGCTGCCTCCTGACAGGGAAATAGCAGAGGGAGGCCTGAGACTACTGTTTATCTACATAAATCTTGTAGAAGCTAGTTGACTCTTTAACCTACATGCAACTCTAACCTTGATAAAAATTTTAAAAAAGGAAAACAAAATAAAATGAAAGGTTGGACTAGATAACCTCTAGGACCCCTTCCTCCTCTGTCATTCTATGCTTTGTCAGCATTTCTTACTAAAATTCAAATCCAAGAGAGGTATTGCCCTTTGTGCTAATACTCTTCGAAGAACTGGTTAACAGCTGACCTCCCTAGAGTTTATGTCCCTTTTCTTGAAAGGTGACAAGAAAGAAAGGGGAGGGCACAAGAGAACTGATGTTTATTAAGCCATGACTTAGGCCTAGACACTATGCTAAGCATACTTATGTCTTCATCTCAGCTGTGATGGAGACCATGGAGGGTGGAGTGTTATTATTGTCCCAGGTTTAAAAATTAGGAAAGTTACCAAAGACTTTTTTAGAGACAGGGTCTTGCTCTTGCTCAGACTGGTCTCTAACTCCTGAGCTCAAGTGAGCCTCCCACCTCGGCCTCCCAGAGTGCTGGGATTACAGGTGTGAGCCACCGAGTCTTGCCACCTCTTATTTCTGCCTTCCTCTCCACGTTAGTTGCATTTGCTTCTTCTACAGATGGCTGCTTCCATGAAGCTAGGAAAGAGGACTGGGAGTAGCTCCAGTTTACCGGCAGTTAACAGCTACTTGTATTCCGGTGCTGCTCAATGGGGGAATGGGAGTGGCGCCCCCTAGAGGGCATCCTGGAAATTCAAAGGGATGGTTTTGGTTGTCACCATGGTGGGAAGCTACTGCTTGAACTTACTGCTAGACATGCTGCATGCAAAGCATGGGCCAGTTCTAAACAAAGAAGAATTGTCCTGCATCCCACACTAATATCTAATATCTCATTGGACACTCTGTTGGTGGAAATCCTATTTATAATTAATTGAGCCTAGACTTAACCCCATTTATATATAAGCAAAGTATGCCTTGTACACTTTTAATATACACTGACTTATCTATGAATACTTCCATGTATAAAGTGAGGGGAAATTGTTATTTTCTTTTGTTTGAAATTTTATCAAGGGCTGTTCACTATTTCACTGTTTCAGAAATCACATCATCAATGTCACTCATGGAACTGGAGGTGTCACATAGCGCATCTGCATATCATATAGCTCTGCCTGCCTCTGTCACACTCGTGGTGATTCGACATGTCTGGGGCAGGCATCTGACTCCCTCATCAAGTGTTCTAGTCCAGGTATACCCATGCATTTGTGTATTTATGCATTATTATTTTATTATGTGCTATTTTTACAAGTGATTTTATTCTATTAGAAGCTATTTTAATTTCTCTTTTGTATTACAATTAGGACATCACACTGACTTTTTAAATGATCTGTGCATTATCTATGAATTCTCTTTCAGTATATTAAAAGTATAATAACAAACTATGTGTTTATAAAAAGAAAGTGTTAGATTTGAGAACCACTGTCTTAGAGGAAGAGGGCAGCCCACTGTCTCCTAACGAGCATCAACTTGCCAACTTGTAAGGAGGACGCAGATGGTCCCCATCCCAAGGAAGTGCTCTTGGTTAGCCTGGTCAGCCAGGCACCCTTGGGGCAGGTGGCAGAAGGGCAGCAGAGAAAGCAAGACCCCAAGATACATAGTCCCACCAAGGCCACATGGAGGTAGGAAGGGGGTCTCCAAGGGGAAAGTGGAGTGCTGTTACTATAAGAAAGTGGAAGGGAAGCTGGACAGGTCAAAGTGACAATTATGCACAAAAATCAATGTAGAAACTTCAGTAATGGAAAAGTGTTGGTGAAACATTGCCTACCACAGCCTGCAGGGCTTACAAAGCAAAGCTACGACAAACCAGATTGCTAAAGTTGAAGAGAAACAGAAAATTATCATGAAAATGCAAGAAAAACTGCAAGAAAAAGCCATGATCCCCTCTAAACAACACTGATAACGCAATGATAACAAAGCTTCTAGCCTAAAACCGGCAGGAATCCCAGCTCTGCCACGCCCGATCAGGTTTGGCAGGCAGGCTCGTCGCCCCACCTGGAGTCCGTCCCCAGGAAACAGGAGCAAAGCGCTAATTTTGTCAATCCCAGCCTGCATATGGGCAGTGTACGTAACCACGGCACTCCAGGGCGTCGCATCCACTCGCCAGAACCAAGCACAAGACTTGCATTATCGTTATCGGCTGGTGGCCGCCATGGACACACCTCTTTATGGGCTGCAGACTGTTATTTTTTATAAAAACAAAGCCTCAGGAGAGCTTCGTAAACATCACTTCTCTCAGTTGGATTGTGCATGGAAATGGGAAGTGAACAACTGAGCCTAGAATATTGATATTCTAATTTGCTGGTGGAGGGGCTCAACGTGTTAATAATTGATTTTCCTTTATTCAATAAACATTTTTTTTTTAATTTTTTTTTATTGCGGCATATTATGGGTATTCAATAAACATTGATAGAGCATATTCCACGGTCTGGCACAGGACCTGATGCAAAGACTCGGGACTCATAGCCAGTGGGAGGTCGTGACCCACAAACAGCTGTGCCGAGTGACACAGTGGGCTCTTGCCCATTCACTTCACCCCATGTATTCCTGCCCTCTTCTTCCTGGACCTGCCAAGCCAGCTCTCGCCACAGGACCTTGTTTTTGGCTGTTCTCTCATCCCTAGACATTTGCTGGGTCCATCCCTCTCTTCGCTCAGGTTTCTGCACAATTGTCACCTCTGCAGAGAGGCCTTCCCTTCCCTGGCCACCCCTGCTAAAAGAAACCTCCTCTCCTAGCCCTTGTTCTCTTCACTCCCACCTTTTTCATCCCCTAACCCAGTTTGATTTTTCATCAAAATATTCTCGGCCGGGCGATGTGGCTCACGCCTGTAATCCTAGCACTCTGGGAGGCCGAGGCGGGTGGATTGCTCCAGGTCAGGAGTTCAAAACCAGCCTGAGCAAGAGCAAGACCCCGTCTCTACTATAAATAGAAAGAAATTGATTGGCCAACTAATATATATAGAAAAAATTAGCCGGGCATGGTGGCACATGCCTGTAGCCCCAGCTACTCGGGAGGCTGAGGCAGGAGGATTGCTTGAGCCCAGGAGTTTGAGGTTGCTGTGAGCTAGGCTGATGCCATGGCACTCACTCTAGCCTGGGCAACAAAGCCATACTCTGTCTCAAAAAAAAAAAATTCTCATTAATAAAGCTGGGGTGGCTGGGTACAGTGGCTCATCCCTGTAATCCCAGCACTTTGGAAGGCTGAAGCAGGAGGATTGCTTAAGGCCAGGAGTTTGAGACCAGTCTGAACAACATAGCAAGACCCTATCTCTATAATAAAATTTAAAAAAAAAATAAATTAGCCAGGCATGGTGTACTACTTGGGAGGCTGAGGCAGGAGGATCACTTGAGCCAGGGAATTTGAGGTTGCAGTGAGCTATGATGATACCACTGTACTCCAGCCTGGGTGACAGAATGAAACCCTGTTGAAAGAAGGAAGGAAGGAGGAAGGGAAGAAGGGAGGAAAGGAAAGAAAGAAGGAGAAAGCAAGCTGGGGGAAAAATATTCTCAGTATCTGATGTTAAAATAATGGTTACTTCTTATTGAATATTTTGTGTTTATCTGAAATTGCTCTATTTTAAGCACATTAACTCCTAATTCTCCCAAAAATCTTATGAGTTGGTGCTGCACTTGCTGTTATCATTCTCTTTAAAAAAAAAAAATAATAAGTTTTACTTTTTAGAGCAGTTTTAGGTTCACAAGAGGATTGAATGTGAAGTACAGAGAGTCCATCCACACACTTCCTGTTTTCCTCCCCACAACCTCTGCCACCAGAGTGGCCCTTTTGTTACAATTAGTGAGTCTGCACTGACACAGCATTGTCATTCAAAGTCCATGGTTCACACTAGGGTTCACTTTTGGTGTTGTACATCCATCATCCTCCTGTGACAGGAAACTGAGGCAAGAGAGTATGGACTCCGGCTGGCTCCTGTCCAGGCTCTTAACCACCAGGCTCTGCGGCTGCTGTCCACGTTGTTGTGACTCCATTGACTTCTCTCTAGGGTTGCCGACTGTCACCCCTCTAGAATGTAAGCTCCAGCAGGCCAGAGACTTGTCCCGGCCACAGCTGCACCCCCAGTGCCCACAGGAGTGACTGGCACAGAGCTCACGGTCAGACGACCCTGGAGGAATGAATGGTGATGGTAAACAGCCCTGCCCTGGTCCCTGGGATACTCCGAGACCCTAAAAGAGTCTTCCAAATCACCATATGATTAAAAGGACTTGGGAAGCCATGACCCTACACTTAACAAGAGCCGCACTTTCTAACAACAGATCTCAACCCTGGCTGCACAGTGGGAATCACCTGATGCCTCGGCCTCACCGCAGATCAGTTAAGACAGGGTCTCTGGGTGGGATCCAGCCTGAGTGTTCACAGAGTCCCACGGTCCACTCCACTGTGCAGTCAAATTTGAGAACCTCTCCCATAGCTGAATCCACTCAAGTGGTGAAGCAACCTGCGTGGAAGTTTGCTCCTCAAACCTGGGGATACAGGAATGATCTGGCTCACAGGCCCACTTGATTCTCTATCTCCAGAAAAATGGACATGGCACTACAAGTTTGTAGCCTATTTCAGGTGGTTTATAAATTCCCTACAGCACCCTCCTGGCTTAAGAACCCCTAGGATAAACAGTAAATTTCAGACTCTGGAAAGTGTTCTAAAGGAATGTGAGTTCTCACTCTTTGAAGGGGTTTTTGAAAATAAGGCTGAGTTTTATAAGTTTGGAATTGTCTAGGTATGGTTCAGTTGGAAGGAGAGAGAGCGAGGACCCTCGATGTTTCCCAAACCTCCTGGCTGTGCGCCTGACTCACCTGGGGCAGAGATTCTCAGCGGAGGCCCTACAGACATTTCCCAGGATGCCTGTCGTGGAGGCCGCCCTATGCACTGTAGGACGTTTAGCCGCATCCCTGGCCTCTACCCACTTGCTGCCAGGAGTACCCCTCCTCCAGGTGTGACAACCAAAAATGTCTCCCCACACTGCCAAATGTCTCCTGGTGGGGGCAAAGTCACCCATGGTTGAGAACC